TTCAAAAGAGCAAACCAATTTTGAACACCCTCAAATAGCCAGGACATTGATTTACATCTCTTACAAACAACAACAAAGTGAATAGTTCAATATCTAGTAGCAACACACTGGTATATAAGTTTTGTTAGATCTTTTGATAAAACAGTAGGGACCATGTTTCCTGCACATTCTGCCTATTAAACAGGTATCCTGGGTAGCTTTGGGGGCCCATTTATCTGCAAGATCTGACAAGATTCCAACCCCGGGCAACTGAAGATGTTCTTCTTTTCCTGCGTCTTCCCCACTTCAAACATCCTCTTCTGCCATTTAATGTCATCAAGGGGTTATTTGACCACAAAGCTTTGGCCCAGGAATGAGCCCCTCCTGTCCCCTACCTCTTCGAAAAAGGCATCAAAGTAGGCAGGCGTTTGTAAAGAAGTTCACCTTTAAAATCGCAATCCCACATGGTATTCTCTGTAGGTAGAGGAGCTCCACGGGTGAAGGAAGATGTCCCTACAGATCAGCTCTCAGAGCCAAAACCTTCATCTGTATTTACTCTTAAACCGAGAATATAAATGACTTTGTTATTCATTTGTATCAAGCCAAAAGCACAAGATTGTCCGAACCTGTTCCTAGCTTTCTACATTCACCAGTTTCTACCTGAAATGCTTCTGCAAAACATACGTCCCTTTAAATGGGTAAGATCATTGTTCACACCATAAGCGCTTGCTTCACGTAGAGAAGCCACAAAAAATTAAGGTATCCTATGGATGTTTGCAACAATTATTTTTACAAATTATTCTAAATTGTGGGTCTCCTATTCAGATTTGATTTAACCTCTTCTCCTTTGTGATTCATCAAAGAGAAGAAAAGACAAGGAAAACAAAGTCCTATTTTAATTAAAAACAGCTTCACTACATTCAAAAATAATACAGGTGGAAAACACCAAAGAAGAATTCCATAGGATTTCTTAAGTAATATCAAGTAGTAAATTTCTCCACCCTCCTTGGGAGCTTAACAAGTGAAGCGTGATGTGAGCAAATGAGTATTTTAAAATTTAAATTATTACAGTTGCAGCACTTCTACACCATAATGAAGCCTTTAAACTTCAATTTGCAGTTTTATGCTAAAAAAACAGCTTCAACATTCTACTTTGTTGTCCCATCTCAGCTATCAACTCTTGTGTGTAGCGCCATGCAAACCAATAGAAATACTAGATGGCGTGAATTCTGATCGAGGATTTTCCAGATCAGTTTGACATATAGCTTGAAATGTTTTTAGCTAAACTGACCTCTTTGGAAACCAAAATTTCAGTATCACTTAATGATTTCAGGTGGTTTTCATGGTTTAATTCCATTCAAAGATGACATCAAATCACAGAATCATACAAAATGGTTGGAGTTGGAAGGGGCCTCCGGAGGCCATCTGGTCCAACCTCCCTGCTCAAGCAGGGCCACCCAGGGCCGGTTGCCCAGGACCGTGTCCAGATGGCTTCTAAGTATCTCCAAGGACAGAGGTGCCACAACCTCCCTGGGCAACCTGTGCCCGCGCTCGGTCACCCTCACAGCAAAAAAGCCTTTCCTGATGTTCGGAAGGAACCTCCCACGTTTCAGTTTGCACCCATTGCCTCTGGTCCTCTCACTGGGCACCACTGAACAGAGCCGGGCTCCGTCTTCTTTGCACCCTCCCTTCAGCTATTTACACACATTGGTAAGACCCCTCTTGAGCCTTCTCTTCTCCAGGCTGAGCAGTCCCAGCTCTCTCAGCCTTTCCTCATAGGACAGACACTCCAGGCCCCTCATCATCTTCATAACCCCTTGCTGGACTCTCTCCAGTTTGTCCATGTCTCTCGCACTGGGGAGCCCAGCACAGGACACAGCATTCCAGATACAGACTCACCAGTGCCGAGTAGAGGGGAAGGATCACCTCCCTTGACCTGCTGGCAATACTTTGTCTAATGCAGCCCAAGATACCTTCTGCCTTCTTTGCAGCAGGGGCACTGTGCTGGCTGCTCATGTTCAACTTGATGTCCGCCAGGACCCCCAGGTCCTTTTCTGCCAAGCTGCTTTCCAGCTTGGTGATCCCCAGGTGTCCCAGTGCCTGGAGTTGTTCTTCTCCAGGGGCAGGACTTTGTACTTCCTCTGGTTGAGCTTCATGAGGTTCCCGTCAGTCCATTTTTCCAGCCTGTCCAGGTCCCTCTGGATGGCAGCACAACCCTCTGGCATATCAGCCACTCCTCCCACTTTGGTGTCATCTGCAAACTTGCTGAGGGTACACTCAGCTCCAACATCCAGATCATTAATTAAGATCTTGAACAGGACTGAACCCAGTAGGACACCCCAGGGTGTACCCTGGGGTACACTGCTAGTTACCAGCCTCCAACTAGACTTTGTGCCACTGCTCACCACCCTCTGCACCCGGCCATTGAGTCAGTTTTCGATCCACCTCACTGTCTGCTCATCCAGCCTGCACATCAACCATTTCTCTATTGGGATCTTATGGAAGACAGCGTCAGAGGCCTTACTGAAGAGCAGGTAGACAATATTCGCTGCTCTCCGTTCATCATTTCCTCCAGGCCAGTCATTTCATCATAGAAGTTTATCAAGTTGGTCAAGCATGAATTCACCTTGGTGAAGCCATGCTGACTACTCCTGATGATTTTCTTGTTCTAATGATCTCTGAAA